CAGGACTGGTTTCCCACACGTGAAGTAGCAGGAAGTCACTGCCGACCGCATCGGCCAAGGAACACTGTCTCAAAGACACAGCTTCAATTTGTCTTACCCGCCAGTGATAAAACCCAGTCTCTTTCCTCTCCTTCCTTTGGAAAAGCACGGCTGCCAGAAAAGGCAGCACTCTGGGTGGAAACGGGCCCCGCAGCACCTCATGGAACATGGGAAAAAACGTCCTGTCGTCTCCACAGAAAACCTGACAGCGAAACAGAGAAAATAGAGCGTCTCCGACCGCCTGGCTGCGAAGGGCTTCTCGCTACAGGCTCCGTCCGAAGCGTTGCGCAGGACTGGGCTGCGCTCCAGCTGCGAGAAGCAGAGGTGTGGCCTGCGCTTGCCAAACAACCCAGTTCAAAGCCTTGCCGGCAGGTTTTTTCAAATACTGGTAAAAGATAAGGGCAGCCAAGCAGCACCAAGCAGGGAAGCCCTGGGTGGGAGGAAGCACCGCTCCGTGATTAAGCCACAACCTCAAAACCCCCAGTCCAGATTTTCTTTGAGGGTTCCAGCAACCTGATCTAGGACTTTGGCCATTTTAAACCCTGTCAGAGTTTCAGCATACCGTAAAAAAGATATATTTTTAAATAGAAACTCCCATCTTACAAGCACTAAATAAAGCTGAATTTGTCATTGAGTGTAGCTGTTCACAGAAGTCTCAGGGAGACCCGAGCAGAGACACCACAACTTGGTCTGCATTAGGATGCCTCAGAGAATCTTGGTTCACCGCCATGTCTAACCTCTCGCTATGCGAGCGGCCTCCCAAGTCCCCACTTTATTCTTCTCCTTTCCATGCAGCACAGTCTCGACTCTTCCACCAAAGGTTCTTGAAAAATCATGCAACTGATAGGGCAGACTTTTTAGAAGTCTATTGTGCCTTAAAAAAAACCTTTTAGGTAGTAAAGGAAATTTACTGGAATTGATTAGTTTATTAACAGCTGCTGACAGTTAGCTTGTCTCAAGATTTTGGATTAGAGCTTAAAGTGAAGCAGCAGACCAAAAAACAAACTTAAGAATTTCAACAATTGGAAAGTGGCAGAGAATGTATGAAAGCCAGTAACACAGCATGTCCCCAGCTCCACACAAACATGAGAATGTGACACATTCTCAGCAAGGTCCCATTCATTAATCATTTCCTGTCATTAGCGTCAGTCACTAGATCAGAATTTAAGAAAATTAATAAAAGCGTAGGCACTGACATTTAGAACACAAACAAGTCAGTACTAGTTAGTGAATTCACGGACTTAGAGGCAACACACAGGCAAGAAGCAAACATAATAGCATTGCAAAACAGCCAGCAACTGCTGTAACGCTCTCATGTGATACTAAATGGTACAGTAAAGCTAGATACTGGGCTGAAAAAGCAGTTTGTTTGCATTGGTATATACCACTGCATTGGAAGTGAAGGACTGTCATACTACATTTTATTTATCTTTGAAAAACTGCAGAACCATAAGTGAGATTTACTCTTATTTAATCTAATATGGCTCGACTATAAATTACAGGAAAATTGAGGCAGCCTCACACAGTAACATGGAGAAATGACACTTAGTCTAAGCAGTTTATTATTACAGGCAGTATATATAGCCTGTATTTTATCTTGTGAGTACCCAACTGCATTTAAAACCAGGCTTACCTGCCTCCTCCTGAAGTTCTCTCTCCTCCTCTGCCAATGAAATCTCAGCACAGGGGTCTCACGTTTATGTAATTTCTCTTGAATTTCTCTCGAGAAAAACTAAAAGCTCTTTAGAACATATGCTTAAGAATTGTTTCATAGCCAATAGATCATGTTAGCACAGTGTTTGTGCACAGTTTTAGCTATCTACAGACACTGTTGACAGCCAACTTAATATCCAAAGAGAAGCTACTCACTTTTGTCATTTCCTAACAGACTAAGAAAACAAGAAAGCAAGACAGCATCAAAACCTGAGGCAACAAAGATGGTCTCAAACCTGGTAACTTTACATCTGCTTGGATTAGCATCCCCATAGTGGTAAAGGCAGATGTATACCTACATTTCATTCAATTATTTTTTTTGTCAGCAAGCATGAACAAATGACACCATCAACAACTATACTATATAGTACTTAAAATGTGCTTAGATCTTGCAAGGGACCCCTTTCGCTCCCATGGGCAGTGCTAAGAGGAAAGCCGAGATGCAGTGCATAATTAAAAGAGATGAAGATTCCAACAAACGTCATCAAGTTTTGGGGTTTTCTGGAGGATCAGTCTTCTCCAGAAATACCAATATACTCAACTGTCCAACATGGAGACAAAAGACTCTTCTTCAGTGCTGATATCTCCCATTTCTATAGCATGGGAAAACTAAAGACCTACATTCCACTTCCAACACTAGACTAGTATATGACCACCTACCATTCAAGCAACTGAAAACCTGCGAATCTAAACATTTCCTGATTTGGCCATACAGAGCTCAACATCTCTTCCCCCACCCCCCCAAATAGCATACCACCACCCCAAAAAATTGTCAGTAATGTTAGTGTTCTCTAATAAGTACGTATTTAATGGTAAGACTTTCAAAAACATTATTCAAAGAGAATACAAAAGTGGTTTTAGTAGGATTTTGAGAACATTCACGAGCATACTATAAACACGTAGATTTAAAAACCAAAGTTGAGAATTGATGACAGCTCTCACAAGACATGGCCTCATTTGAGTTACATATATTAAAGGAAGAGTGATACCGGAAGCACCTGCATAGGATCTGACTTCCAGGAGAATGCGAGGACTAATATAAATATATATATATATTAAATAAAAAAAAAAATCTACAGCAGCTCAGAGAAGCTTAACTGCACAATGACTGAAACACACACTGGTTCACAATATTTATTACAATCTATTGCTTTAGATAAACCTGCTGTACGGTTAGTAAATCCAAACCACATTATAAGAATCAACAAAAAATGTTACAGCACAAACCACATCTCCGTAAAAGGTATGCAATGGAGGTGAATAGAGGCACAACCTTTTAACCATGTAAGTTAAGAGCACAATGAAGATCCTCATATATGAACACAGCTTTCCTGGTAGCAAATAATGAAGGTAAATAAAAAAATCAGACTAACAGTACTAAACATAAGACAAGTAAAAATCAGAACAATATTGTTATATCCATATACAAAGAATACAGGGCCTTTTTTAATACCCTTCTTTCATTCTCAATTACCTGTAAACACAACTCTCCCAAACCATCTTCCCTCCGTACCTGAACAAGTATATAAAGATCTATACAGAATGTGCAAATCCAATATAAGTATTTTTAGGCTCTCTTCTTCAAATAGAAGAAATACAAGGTTAAAAACATTAACACCACAGATTCCCTCTACCCAGCCTCTGCAGAAAGACATCAGTAGCAATACTGCCCAAGACATCCAAGTACAGAAATAGCAAAACACTGGACCAAGAAATCCATAAGAATGCACAGCATATGAACAATAAATACAAGCACGTGTGGAAAGGGAAAAAACAAACAGTTATCAAGGGAAACTAGTAACACTGGCAAATGAAAGTAAATTAGGACTCTTGTCAGCCTACAGCAGATCTGTTCCTAAAAAGCACTCACATAACAATGGCTTAAGTAAACCTATACTGTTAACTGAGATCCAACTACACCTTAGGCAGACAGGCTTTATTCATCTACTTGTTTGTTAAGAGCTGATATCTGGTAGTTAGTTGCCATGCTCCGAACTATCTGATAATTACATATTTATAAGTATTGCCAGACCAGGATGTTGGGAGTCAAATAGCCACTCTACTGGGTTATTTGCTACTGCTGCCTTTTCTTTTCATTACCACTGCACCAGTCAAACATTTTAATATCCCTCATACCAGTCTGCTATAGATAAAAGTTTGTGGAAAAATAAGTTAGATAAAAATATTACAGCCCACAAGGAGCACGGTACAATCTAGTTCTTGTAGTTAAGACTTCTGGCTGAAGAGTAACTTAAACAGTACCAGCTTGAGCAGAACGCAGTTCTAGAGCATTTAAAATAGAGATGTTTAAATAGTCTGCATTTTATTCAATGCTGGAAAGCCAACCAGACACCAAAGAACTTATATACACAGATGTCAAGTGCTGTCTAGAAACTCAAGCAATAACTATAGTTCACTCCCTTCAGAAGTTGCTTTACAGGGTGTTCTTTGCTTTTTGGTATGAGTGCAGATGAGAATTTCCTAGAATAGCCTCTGAGCTTCCACTCATGCTCACAGTGAACATATATATTCAGTGCAAAAACACACAAGTTAATTTGATTTACAGCTCTCAAACTAAAGTAAAAAGGAAACAAAATGCTTACTAGTGGTGTCTACTGTTTGTCTGACTATGTCCTGTGGAAATTCTCATAAGAAGGTCAGGTGATAACACTGAATATCAATAATAAGATTCCTTTGGCCAGCACTTAAACATTCCCATTTCTGAGATGAAAGTAAAACTATATTTTCTAGGTCTAGAAATAGGCACAGAAGCCTCCTCTATGCCAAACACCTGGTGATCTCTATGCAACACTGATACAGCTGCAAAGATTTTTAAGGAATTTTCTTTTTTTGAAGAACCATTTATATACAAGGCCAAATCACAACATTGTCACCCTAAGGAGGTAAGTTTTATAGTAAAACTTGACTTGTGGTGAATGCCCAACAGTTGTCTAACAACTCATTCGCAAGGCTGGAGTGCAATACAAAACTCACTACAAAAAAGTTTCTTATTCTTCATCTGCATACTGAGAGATTCAGTGTAGTTGCCAGCACTATAATAACACAGTTAAAGTCATTTTCTAGTAAATTAATATTGCCAGATAGGTACAGTCAGTCCACAGATACAAATGACTTCTACCCAGTGTAAGAGAACCTAGCAACAAGCCTCAAAAATCTCAGAGGCATCAACTTCTTAAGTCGTCAGTTCTGAATTTCATATGAATGCTGGGATGGTTGACATGACAAGGTCAGGTGTCCAATGTGTTGACTTCTTTGGAGCAGAAATAATGCACAACTATTGCATTAGGGTATCGAGCAAATGCACTGTAAAGAGACAGAACACAAAAATCAACTGTCAATGCAAACAGCTTTCCCTGTTCAAACAAGAACATCGAAGTTGTGCAGAATCAGAAAAAGATGTTTACACGAAACTGACACTTTTTTGTTTAAATTACAGCCTGAATACATTCTTGAGAAAACCAGACAAAAGAATTCTATGGATTTTGTAAGAGTTTAGTTTTAAAAAAATATAGTATCTATTTTCACGTCTACAGGCACACTTAACTTAGAAGTCACTGGTAATAAGCTAAAGACTGGGTGACACGCTGACATGCTTGCCCTTCAAAACCTTATTGAACTTACCAGCATTAGAAGAATCCTAGACAACCAAAACAATACTGCATATTCAAATTTAAATTCTGATGCTACATGCTATACACTAACAGCAAAAAACTGAATATGCATAGCAATAAGTATATTTAGACCCACGTTCATTAAAATGATTTGGAAAAAGAACCTTTCCTTATCGTTGTGAATGCTACTGATATCTCAGTATGAAGGGTTCACATCAACAAAAGAAACAATGAATAAGCTAGTCATGTGGCATTTCACTGGAGTTCAAAGAGGAAAAAGAAAAAGTGCAAACAAAATTTGCATTCTATACTAACCCATAATTACCAACTAAGAGTGGCAGAAGGAAAGTTATTGGCATCCAGGTATCAACTGAATTAGTTCTACTTTTAGATGTCCTAAGATAATTATGCTACAAAATGTAAGTCAGCCAGGGAACCACAAACCCATCAGATATAGAGAACTATTACACATGTATCTTAGTTCAAGATTCATTATATCGTTCTTCATTCTAATTAAGAAGCAGGTAGTAGGCAGTGTTCTTAGAACTTTTCCAAATTCAGTATGAGAAGCAATTTTATGTCTTCTAGAGCTGTGAAGTAAGAAGTCTTATGAGTTTCTGAAGTGATTTTAATACTGCTTTCAACAAAGGAGAATAAACTCTCGCAGTAAATTTCACTGACTAAAGCTTTGATGTTTTCCCAGCCACCCAGTGGAGTGATATAATTTGAAATTCAAATGCTTGTCAAATATCTCCCTCATACCGCTGTACTCTGTGTGTATATACACATTTCGAGCTTTGCAACGTTCTTAGTTTAAGTGTTCTAGATTCATATTTGATTCAGTTTCCCAAGCTTTAAGGTATATACTCTCTCACCTGTTACCTATCTTCTTTTTACATACAGTGCACACCTTCTCCTCTGTAATAATGCACTTCATTTGCAGATGCAAGATCCGCTCTT